GAGAGAGAGAGAGAGAGAGAGAGAGAGAGAGAGAGAGAGAGAGAGAGAGAGGTTACTTAATTTATTTCAAAATACACACACACAAAAATATATATATCAGAATATATTTACATAAACGTATTTTCTACAAATGTATTTTTGGCCATTTTCTTGAAAATATATTTTTAAAAATTCATTTTTTTAAAGCATTTAAAAACATATTTTGCCTTCCAAATCACTTTTAATCACTTTAAAAATTGCTAAATGAGAATGTGAGGAACATTTTTACCTAAATGGCAAAAAATATATTTTCAAAAATGTTATAAAATATATTTCAAAATATACAAAAAATGATTTGTTTGTATATTTTCTAAAATATATTTACTTTTTTTTTTTTTTACCAATATATATGTTGGGGCATTTTTTGTATATTTTAAAAAATATATATTTTAAAAAATGTAAATACATTTAAAAAAAATTTTTTTTAATATATTTTGTCATATATTTCAGTCCAAGAAAATGCATTCACCTATGTCACACTTGAAGAAAAACTTTATTTGTTGTCTATAACGGAAAACTTGCCACTAAAAAACATTTTGAAATGTATTTTAGTATATGAAGGTTGAAACTAAATATATTTTAATTTTCAAAAATATATTTAATTGAGCTTCACTGTTTACAACATATTTTTGGCCACATGGGATTGCTGAGATGTTTTGAAAAAGAAAATGCTTTGATAATTCATAATTATGACATAAAATGTTGAAATTTTGAGATAGTAAGTCATTTATGAGATAAAATGTACTAAGTCATAATTATGAGATAAGTTGGACCTGAGAGAAAAATTATTGAGATAAAGTCATAATTATGACATAAAAAGCTGTCATTATAACAACAACAAAATAAAGACATTGAAAAGTTCAAATTAAGTGCAACCATACAGTAAATATACTGTTTTAGTAATTCATAATATATATTTGTATTGATCTTCTCTGTTTACAACATATATTTAGCATATTTTTAAAATATTTATTTGCCAGAAACAGCTTTTTTTTTTTTTTTGCTGTATGGGATTGCTTAGATGCTGCTCTTCCATAGATGAGACATATAGTGTTTATGTTGCATTTAAGTGTCACGTTTTGCTAAAATATTTCTCTCGTAAAAATAGAAATAAACAGTAAATTGTAAAAAAAAAAAAAAAAAAGTAGCACTATAGCGCTGTAACATTAATAGCCTTTGTGGAAGTATTTAAGAATGCAGTCTTTGGTGTCTTGAGGCATCTTACAATACTTGCTTAATATTTATATGAGGAAAGTCAGGAAAAGAGCTGTAATCTGCGGTTTGTGTTTCTCATATGGGACAGGCCCACGGTTTTGGCACTGAGCTCTAAACCTGTCAGTTTGTAATTGCATTTCATAAAGGTCAGATCGTAACATCCGTAATGGGATTGGAAACTCTGTGAAATTCCCTCTGTCTTTCCAAAAGGCCTGTGTTTGTTGCTTGTCCCTGATCTGTGCGGTTAGGACGCTCTGGGGCAGATCGACTGATGCTGCATGAAGAAACACAGGTCCTGCTATGCTTGGCACATTCAAACCAGCCATTAAAATATCACTGTGGCTTTATTCACACTCCTTTTGGCGAGAATCAGAACGATGTCGTGGATGAGCAAGTGTCGAGTGAAGGGTGACGTACTGGTGACTTTTCTGTGGTGCAAATCAAATTTTGACATTTGACGACTGTCATTTCTGATTTGTCGTGAAATGAATGAGTGAACATTTGCTGAAAATGTACTAACCCTCATGTCATCGAAGTTTGTTTCTTCATCAGATTTGGAGAAATGTAGCATTGCATCACTCGCTCACCAATGGATGTGAATGGGTGCCGTCAGAACGAGAGTCTGATAAAAACATCACAATAATCCACAAGTAATCCACACCACTCCAGTCCATCAGTTAACATCTTGAGAAGTGAAAAGATGCATGCTTGTAAGAAATTAATCCATAATTAAGGCGTTTTTAACTTCAAATCATTGCTTCTCGCTAAAATACGAGTCCTCTATCTATAATCTTGCTTCCTGCTGTGAAAAAGTGTTCTGGTCTGAATCAGGAGAGAAATCTGCACAGATCAAGCACCGTTTACAAGCCAAAACAGCTCTAAACAAATCTGTGGATGGATTTTGATGTGAGAGACAACAGGAGATGGACTTTTTCACTGGAGGTAGCTTTATTATGGGTTATAGACTCTAACCAGATTCTGACCAGATGCTTTAAACTTAAAAATTATGGATTTGTTTCTTACAAACATGCAGATTTTGTCTTCTCCAGATGTTAACTGATGGACTGGAGTGGTGTGGATTACTTGTGGATAATTGTGATGTTTTTATCAGCTGTTTGGACTCTCATTCTGACGGCACCCATTCACATCCATTGGTGAGCAAGTGACGCAATGCTACATTTTTCCATTTCTTCAACTAATCAAACCAATCCTGAAGCAGAGTACATTTTCAGCAAATGTTCATTTTTGGGTGAGCAAGTCCTTTTCTGCATTTCCTATACGTGACAGCATGCCTAAAGCATTTGTAGTGAGATAAAGTCAAAAATGAGACGTTTGCGGGTTAATGCTGTACAAACAAGTGGCATGACAAACTAGCACCTGTGCTGGATAACCACACCCTCTGTCAGTTTGTGTTTGAGTCACCGCTGTGACTAACCGCTGGCATGTGTGCGTCATTCAGACGGGACACGAGCACAAAGCTGGTCAAGAAAGTTTAGCAGTGCAAGGATGTGAAGTCAGTTTTCACATTGTTTTCTTGCATAATCCAAAAATCGTTTTAGTCACTGGAATGACTAAAAATATATACAGTACATTTTTTACTGTAGTGTTATGGAAGGCAAGTAACATTTAGTGCATTTTTAACAGCTCGAAAAAAATTACGTTTGTTTTCTTAACTATAGCTTTAAATGTGCATTTATTGCAGAGATCGGGAATGTTTGAATGTCTTGCACAGGTTGCATTTTTGATGGTTTCAATTGACAAAATTTATTGTATAATGTTCAAATAAAACATTTGAGTTCATTTATGTGCATTTAATTTGTGTATTTTTTTTTCAACTGAGGATGTAAATGTTGGTTTGGCCTTTTAATCACTCAAAAATTGCTAAATGGTGTGAGGAACGTTTTATATGAAACATTTTTTTAGCATTAAAAATATTTTTTTCAGATATATTTTTAAATATATTTCAAAATATACACAAAAATGACCCCCCAAAAATATATTTTCTAAAATATAAAAAAATACATGTATGTAAATATATATTTCTACTAATATACTTTTGGACATTTTTGTAAATATAGTAAAAAATAATAATAATATATATTTTTCATATATATTATTATATTATATAATATTTCATCATTATACATTTTTCTTAGAATTTGGATGCAGATGCCAGTTTGGCATTTTAATCACTTTTAAAAATGTCATTTTCCAATTATATCTTTAAAAATATTTAAAAATACCAAAAAATATATTTATTTAAATATATTTCTATCAGTATATTTTGGCTTTTTTTTTTGCAGATATAAATATATAAAAATATATTTTAAAATATAATTTTTTTTAAAAAGCATTTTAGTTTGCCCAAGAATTGGGATGCAAATGTCCATTTGGCCTTTTAATCACATTTTAAAAATTGCTAAATGAGTTTAAAAGATTGAAATGTGCATTTATTGCAGGAATCAAGAAAGTTTTAATGTCTTGCACAGGTTGCATATTTGAAGGTCTGAACTGACAATATATTACATAATGTTCAAATAAGACAGATATGGGTTGAAATAATTTAATTCTCTTTTAATTGATTGTAGCACATTGTATAACCACACATGACAAAAAAAGCACTTATCAAAATATTTTAATCAGGCTCAGTTTGCAACCTTTTACAAATTGTTAAAATAATATTTTTAAAAATCAAAAAAAAAAAAAACATTTTTACAAAGATAAAGACTCAAACCTTGACCAAAAACCCATTTTTAATTTCCAAAAAAAAAAAAAAAAGCTTGACAAATAAGTTAGTTTTAATTTTCTCAGTGTTTTTACAAAGTTATGTACACAGGTACATTTCAAAGTTTACACAAATACACAGGCAGTGTATATCGTTCAAATATTAATATTTACTTTATAAATACAATTATGCATCAGGTTTCACCACAGAATCTATTCGTCGAGTGTTTTAGATGCACATGGTTGCTGGAGCTTTATGCAAAGAAAATAAGGCAAAATCAAGGGTGATTGAGTCAAACAAAAGTGAAACAAAATATCAGTAGAAAACCTCACGCAAATTACAGATGATCAAGAAACATCTTGCAAAGAAATAATTTAAGAGGGTGAGAGACGTGGAAGTGCCTGATACTGGTAATACTGGTCGATGCTACAAGGTTTGACCTCAGAGTTTGAACTTTTACATCACCTTCAAAAAAAAAACAAAAAAAAAAACAGGCCGAGATGTTCGGATCCATTCTAAGAACTGCTATTTTGTGCACCTCATCTGAAAAAAAAAATTTGTTTTACACAGCCAATATAAAAACAGATCTTCAAAACGTGAAACAAACATGAACAGCATTTCGGAAATAATCTACACACGGCAACTCTTCAAATCAAACCAACCCCACCCCCCCAAAAAAAAAAAAATAGAATTTTTCCAACATAATCCTAATTATGTGCTACATATGAAAAGGAACAAATATATATTTATATACACAGGTAGTAAGAAAAACGAAAAATGAGCAAAAAAGGAAATGCAACCTAATTGCACACTGCTACATACACTGCTTTACGAGGCAGCTGCTTTTTTCTTGAGTGCCAGAACTTTAGTGTTTGTTTCAGTGCTTGAACACACTCTTAGAGTTGATATGTTTTATTTTCCACTCGTTCCTCCATCCGCTCGTCCGTTTCTCCCCCCAAAAAAATCTTTCGTTCAGCAAGCACTGAGGTCATCAAACCCACAGCAATCAACTTCAGCCCTGTCCGGAAATACGAGAGAATTAGACACACGCTTCTGCAACAGAATGAAAATACACATGCACTGGTATTAAATGCTGTTTTGAATAGAGATTATAAAAGCAATAAACTCCCGTTTCAACTGCACTGCAGAGTTTTTCTTTAGTATGATTGTCCTTGTTTGTATGAAAGCCATGGTAATTGTGACTTTTATTCTCACAATTCAAACTTTTTTTTTTCTCGCAATTCTGAGGACAAATAGAATTGACTCGTAATTCTGACAGTCTTCTCATATTACACAAAGAAAAATTTGTGTTTTGAAATTATAAGCTCATATGAATTAGACACACGCTTCTGCAACAGAATGAAAATACACATGCACTGGTATTAAATGCTGTTTTGAATAGAGATTATAAAAGCAATAAACTCCCGTTTCAACTGCACTGCAGAGTTTTTCTTTAGTATGATTGTCCTTGTTTGTATGAAAGCCATGGTAATTGTGACTTTTATTCTCACAATTCAAACATTTTTTTTTTCTCGCAATTCTGAGGACAAAAGTCAGACAAATAGAATTCTGGACTCGTAATTCTGACAGTCTTCTCAGAATTACAAAAAGAAAAGTTTGTGTTTTGAAATTATAAGCTCATATCTTACAATTCCGACTTTTTTCCTCTGAATTGATTTTTAATCTCAATTGTGATTTTTGTTTCCAACACACAAATAAAATAAAGGTTATTGCGACTTTAATCACACAAATAGTTGTTTTCTCTGAATTCAGAGTTTATATCTTCCAATTTTGTTTTTTTTTTTGGTTCCAACATACAATAAATAAATTATAGGTAATTGCGAAAAAGTTAATTGCAAATGTTTAATCACACAATTCTGACTTTTGTTCTCACAGTTGCAAGTTTTTATTTAACAATTCGGATTTCTCAGAATTGCAAGTTTATATCTTTTTTTTTTTTATTTGTTTTTTGTTGTCGTTTCCGACAAATACATTTTTAAAATAAAGGTAATAGTGACTTTAAGCACACAAATGTTTTTTTCCTCTGAATTCAGAGTTTATATCTTGCAATTTTTTTTCCCAACACACAATAAATAAATTATAGGTAATGGCGAAAAAGGTACTTGTTTTTTTTTTCTCGCAATTCTGAGGACAAAAGTCAGACAAATAGAATTCTGGACTCGTAATTCTGACAGTCTTCTCAGAATTACAAAAAGAAAAGTTTGTGTTTTGAAATTATAAGCTCATATCTTACAATTCCGACTTTTTTCCTCTGAATTGATTTTTAATCTCAATTGTGATTTTTGTTTCCAACACACAAATAAAATAAAGGTTATTGCGACTTTAATCACACAAATAGTTGTTTTCTCTGAATTCAGAGTTTATATCTTCCAATTTTGTTTTTTTTTTTGGTTCCAACATACAATAAATAAATTATAGGTAATTGCGAAAAAGTTAATTGCAAATGTTTAATCACACAATTCTGACTTTTGTTCTCACAGTTGCAAGTTTTTATTTAACAATTCGGATTTCTCAGAATTGCAAGTTTATATCTTTTTTTTTTAATTTGTTTTTTGTTGTCGTTTCCGACAAATACATTTTAAAAATAAAGGTAATAGTGACTTTAAGCACACAAATGTTTTTTTCCTCTGAATTCAGAGTTTATATCTTGCAATTTTTTTTCCCAACACACAATAAATAAATTATAGGTAATGGCGAAAAAGGTACTTGCTAATTTTTTTAAAATCACACAATTCTGACTAACACACTAAATACGAAATCAAGGTACCTCACAATCCGGACTTTGAATTTGAGTTTATATCTTGCAATTTTCTCAGAATTGCAAGAAAAAAAAATAAAAGTCTGAATTAGTAGATATTGGCTCAGAATTGCAAGAAAAATCCCAAATTGTGAAATAAAAAGTTTTTATTTTTATCCTATGGCGGAAACAAGCGTGCATATTTTCGTGTCATTATTCACCTCATTTATTTTCGACATTATGCACACTAATACTTTTATGTGCGATGTTGTAAACATCAACAATCATGGCAATAAAACTCTTGACTCTAACGCAGAGATAAGGACGGCACGCATGTGAGTCTCAGCACACCACACACCAACCCGCAAAAACCTGAATGAACTGAACAAACACACACACACACACACACACACACACACACACTGGAAAATGAGATCATGAAACGTTTTGAGTCCCACCAAAGCAAAACACTCATTACTACAACATTGACGTATTGATTTGGCAGGACGTTTCCTCACATGACTGACTGAGGCAATGATAGCCTGCAGTTACATCAGATTTATGCATTTCAATACAACTTTATCACAGTGTTGCATTTCAATGCACTGAGCGAATCCACACAGTTCTACAGAAATGTGCACGTGTAATAAAGGAGAGCCGTGCTGTTCAGGTGTAAATACAGCAGAAAATGAGTGAACACATGCTGAAGTGTAGAATGTTTTTCACTCTGAAGGAAACTCCAGCTCTTGTAGTAAACCCACCATATTAGCCCTTTCACCGACTCTAAGAGGGTTCTTCAATTAGCCTACATACTGAAATAAAATGTGAAGTAGAAACAGTTCACACTCAGAAATTACTAGTAACTTTAACTAAAACTTATACGTTATTGTAAAATGTATTCCAATCAACTTTTTACAATGCACTTTTAATAAAACACCAGTTTTACAAATATATAAGATTAACAGCAAAATAAATGTGAAATCGGTATTAATGCAACATGATTCCTTTTCTCTTGTATTCATTCTCATTTATGTGCAGATTGCATTTCTTCTGCGTAAATGACTCGGGTGTTAAAGTGCAAAAAGATACAGAGTTGTGCTCACCTCACTGGGCTTGTGTAAGTGTCGGGCTGGGGTGTTTTCTGGGTTTTTTGGGTTTTCTCGGCGTCCGTGTCACTTCATCCACACAGATGTGTGAGCGTTTGCTTTGACACGAGGAGTCTGAAACAAGCACGCATTTATCATCCCACACGGGTTAAAAATCTAATCAAATCTGCCATTTAAAGAAACAAGTCATCGGTTTACCAGTGTGAATCGTTTAGAGAAAGTTTAGAGGATTTCAAAGAAAATGCAACTGCATTGTTTTATTTGAAAAAAGCATGAAAATGCATAACACTGTCTATTTATTGCATTATCAAATTCGGGCTTCACACGCATAATTCAAAATGCTATTGCATGCAAGTGTGAAAAGGCTTAAAATGACTAGATATTGATTTTAAGCAGCTATATAGATACTTTTCAATAAACTGGAAAATGCAATCATGATTCTCTATCTGAAATGCATGATCGATTAAATCGATAATTCGGTACGTACCGAGACAGGAGCTTCTTTTCCTCTGCTCTCGGTCTTTTTCGGGCGTCTCCGCGCTCTGCTCCGTTACGCGACAGTCGTGATTGCCGTTAACATCCACATTCTTGTCGATATTATTCCCAGAGGAGCACATGTGAAGATCGGAGCCCTTCGCCCGCACCGATCTGCTGTAGAAACCGGGCACCGAGCGAATATCCAGCGCGTCCCACTGGTATCTGCCGTCGGTGTGCGGCGTGTGCGTGGAGAAGTCGAAGTTCCACGCGTCCGCCGACGCGTCCTCCATCGCCTTCAGCTGCCGCTGGAAATCCTTCTTTAGCTCTTCATGATCCACCGGACCGAACAGGTTCCGACACGCCGACGGCTTGGGCTGGTCTGACAGTCGCGCCTCCATCCGCTCCAGCGTCGGGCTGCCGTTAGACAAGCGAACGTTGGACATTTTAAGGCGTTCAAGTGCGAAAACACAAACCCGACAGCTGTTACAGAGCGTTCCCTCCTGCGTTAACGCGATCCAAAGCGACGGGCGTAAAGGCAGACTCGCCCCGGGTGCGCCGCATGAGCGATAAACACGGACGGGCGACGAGCATCAAAACAAAAGCAGCGTTCGCGGTGGCCGCTCCTGTCAACTGCGCGTCGTAGTAAATAAGGGGAAGAGAAATAACAAGGCGAGGCTTTTCGGAGCCCAATATGGCGATGAACAAACGAGTGATTGACACAAAGAGGCTCTTTAAACGACCGGAGGAACGCCGCGGATTGGTGCATCGGAGATCCGCCTTCTCTCCGCGCACATCCCCCACTCACGACCCGAGAGAACGCAAATCAACAAACACCCTCGACGAGCCTCCGAGTTCTGAGTCGACTCGTTCGAACGGACCATTTTCGAATCGGTTCACTAAATGATCCGCTGATTCATTTAACTTACGTTTTCGAATAAATTACTTAAAAAATGTTTTCAGTTGTATTTACTGTACATGTTGACTAAATGATTTTTTTGCGGCATCAAAAAGCGTATGAACTATTGGTTTACGTATGACTTTATAAGGCGAGTGATTGAATGAATCGTTTAAAAGATTCAGTTCAAACGAGCGATTCGTTGGCGAATCACAATCGGACGCTTCGTGACGTTGAATGTCAAGCTCTGTAACAGTAAAAACAAGAACAATGGAATCTTGTGCAAATGCTAAAAATTCACAGTGAAACCGAAACTAAAGACTAAAAGCTTGTATAACAACTTTATCGGGATTTTTTTTTTTATATTGTGAAAGACTATTGGTTTACGTATGACTTTATAAGGCGAGTGATTGAATGAATCGTTTAAAAGATTCAGTTCAAACGAGCGATTCGTTGGCGAATCACAATCGGACGCTTCGTGACGTTGAATGTCAAGCTCTGTAACAGTAAAAACAAGAACAATGGAATCTTGTGCAAATGCTAAAAATTCACAGTGAAACCGAAACTAAAAACTAAAAGCTTGTATAACAACTTTATCAGGATTTTTTTTTTATATTGTGAAAGAAATCACATGAGAATACATACTTTTCTGCGCAAAAAACAATGACTAAACAGATTTGAAGTCTAGTTCCTTGTCTAAGATGTACTGTCAGACTAGTTTAAGACTAGACTTAATCTGAGATTTATTATCAGTGTAGTCACGGCCTAACAATTGAATATTGATGGGTCTTCAATATTGTTCCTATGAGAATAATTCTTTGTTCAAAACTTATTAAATCTAAAAGGTATTAATAAAACTTTTTTTTTAAGATTCACAAGTCTACCATTTCCTGTGATGGAACAAATGAATCATAGAAACTATAAGATATGGATTTATTTAAGATGGTTTGATGTCATTACCCGTAATGTGTTGGTCTCTGGTATCTGAAGATGATGTTTGAATTTGAGACACTAAAATCACAAAATGTGGAAGTGCAACTAGATTCACTAGAAGTTGAATTCGTTCCTAGAAGTGAGAAGCTGCGATTGCCAAAACCTTTCCAGGAACAGCACAGCCCCGATCAGACCACGCAATCGTCCTGACGAGAGCTGCGCCTCGCACTTGAGTCTATATGAGCTGATGTGGGTGCCACAAACCAAACGCTTTCAGAAGCCTCGAACAGAACTGCAAGAGAAAAACTCGGAATTCTTTTTTCCTTGCAATTCCTAGAATTCTGAGTTTTTATCTCACAATTCTTGAAAATTCTATTTTTTTTGTTTGTTTCTGCTATGGAATAAAAAAAACGTAATTGCAACTTTTTGCAACTAATTGCAAGTTTATAGCTGGTAATTCTGACTTTTTCTCTGAAAAGAAAAAAAAAAGTCAGAATTGCGAGAAAAAAGTTGCAGTTAGCTTTTTATTTTTTTATTCTGTGGTGGGGAAAAAATAATTGAAATTGTGAGGAAAAATTTCAGAATTTATATCCTGCAATTAAATGGTTATATAACGTAATTCTGACTTATTTTTCTCTGAGTTGTGAGATAAAAACTTTTTCTTTCTTTCTAAAATAGCTTAATTTTGTATTTATTTCATTTTCTTGATCGTACAGCACATTTGCTGTTTTTAAACTATGCTTTACTTGAACTTTAACTATATAAATCAAATCATATTTAATTTCATTCATGTATACCATCATATTGCTTCACACTCATGTCAGTTTCGCCTCAGAAGCCGAACTGGGGAAAAATAAAGGAAAAAAACCCCCGTAAAATTTCACATAAAAATGCTTAATTAAAGAGTTGAACGGAACCCAGTTTTCCAGTGTGATTTAAAATCAAGATCGTATTCACACATCAAACCGTGTAATTTGTCCGAATAAAACAGGCACAAACCAGGCAAAGTCTGTTCTCACGTCTTTGATATAATCCACAGACACTCACACGGGGTTTCTCAACACAGCAGCACAATTCAATTCAACATATCATTTCAAAGTCTTTGATAAGTTCAAGCAGACAGAGCACAGGTTACTGTCCTGAACCAAAACAGAGCTCTGCTGGCGAGCTTTGGGATTTTCCGCAGTGGCACACATACAAAAATGCATTTTTATATGCTTTTATAAATCCTGAAGGCTCTGGGATGGGGTTCGCTTTGTCTGTGGAGCAAAGATGCGTATTTCCGAGTTGGCAATTCACATACTAAGCCACTTTAGGATGTAAAAGTTCCTCTTTCCCACTCGGATCAGGCTGAGTCCATTAGAGAGGATGTGTTGACCCAGAACCAGAACTTGCTCGGGGTTTGCTGCCCTCTGGTGGTTGATCCAAACGCCACCGTCCTTGATCATCTGATACCTGATCATAAAGAAACAAGTACATAACATGAAGCAAAAAAGGCAGCAATGCATTTAAAAAATGTATAATATGGATCAAAAACCATCCCTTCATTTGTTTTTCTAAATTGTTTAAGACCTGAACTGAGCCAGTTTCAAACAGGAAGTCACCTGAGAGTGATACAAAGTAACTAAGGTGTTGTATAAAAAGTAACAATGTAACAAAATGTGTTACTTTTAAACTCAGCAGAGTTTAAACATGACATCAGAATGGCGTCTCACCCGCGCGGGCCGTCAGGAATGGCTTGCGCTCTTCTGCAGGCGTCCAGCACCGTCGCTCCTGGATCCAGGAAAACCTCGTGGAACGGAGCCTCTCGGAAAAGCTGCTGGAGTTCAGTGTCACTCATCTGCTCCAGAGCCTGAATATTACTGTGGTACAGAGCATTGGTGCACCTGGATGGATGGATAGATAGATCTATATTTAATTATAATGTACTATTATTATTATTATTATTTAATTTAATTTCTCTCTCTTTAGGGCATTATATATGAATAATATTATACATATATAATATCATATTTAATATTTTCTCAAGTCTTGGTGATATATATATATATATATATATATATAAACCCAGGAAGAACAAATTCGGGAAACACCTTAGTGAAATTATTCATTATTATTAATAGTTTATTATTATTATTTATTGTTTATGTTGTTGTTGTTGTTATCAAAACGACAATAAAATAATATGTGTAATAATAGTGACAGGAGAAAAATTTTCGGCCATAAATATTTTTTTACCAGCCATGAAACTGTATGTGCATTATTTCATAAAAAAAAATAAAATAAATAAAAATAAGCAGAACTAACAGGGGAAACGCATCTAATTGCAATTTTTGTTATTATTATAATTATTATTACTATTATTTAATCAAATAAAAAATAAATCAATTAAGGAAATTATAATACTATCAAACTGTAAAGTACTTCATAATAATTGTAATTTATTTAAATAATATTTATATAAAATAATAAATATTAATGATTATTATTGTTGTTGTTATTATTGTATATAACAACATTACAATTACAACACTAATATTTGTGGTTGTTTATCCTTTGCTTTCGTTAAACCATCAAGCTTTTATTTTGGTGGAAAACTGCAGGGAAACTTCTCTTTTGTTGACAACAGATTGAAAACCATTTTCATTACAAACTCGGGAAGATGTTTGCGCATGTTGCATTTTCAAATGCACGTTATAAGCGACTTGCAGAGATAGAGTTCATGTGGAACCGCATTTACCGCGAACGAGACACTGAAAACACTGAGATCACAGCGCAGCGCATCAGATTGTATGCGATTGTATATCAGATGTAATTACAATGCATTGGCGAGTGTTAATTTTAGGCCCTAAATGCAGATGAGCAAAGCTTGTCGCTTCATATCCAAAAAGACTTGAGGCTGAAATCACTGACAAAGGTGCTTCAACTGAGTAAGTTCTGAGTTAAGGGTATGAATACTTTTGATAATCAGAAACTAAGTATCTTGCCTTTTGGCGCTTTCTAAGCCCTCTTTCCCGTGGACCAGCTTGGTGACTTCAGCGGCCAGGCGTTTGTGGGCGATGCGTTTGCCCGGATCCTGCTTCTGCTGCTCCATCACCTTCTCCACCTCAGACAGAGACAGGAAGGTGAAGAGCTTCAGGTAGCTGGAGGGAGAAACGTCTTTCTGTCAAGCTAAATAGGCATTATTTTTAAGAATATACACTAGTTTTCAGATACATATTTTTAAAGAAATTAATACTTTTATTCAGCAAGGATGCACTGAATTGACCAAAAGTGACATTTATAATGTTGCAAAGATTTCCATTTCAAATAAACACTGTTCTTTTGAAACCTTCTGTTCATCAAAGAACCCTGAAAAATAAAATGCACACAAAAATATGAAGCAGCACAACTGTTTTCAACACTGATGATAATAATCAGAAATGCTTCTTGAGCAGCTAATCAACATATCAGAATGATTTCTGAAGATCATGTGACACTGAAGACTAGACTTGTGCCGGTATTCGGTAATGCGATATATCACGGTAATTAATACCGTATACCGTGATAAACGCATTAGCAATTAATCGCAACATCGCGGAATATCCCTACTGAAGACTGGAGTAATGATGCTGAAAATTCAATGACGTTTTAAAACATTGAACAGTTGTAATAATATTTCTCAGTATTGGCTGGTAACTCACCGCTCCACGCTGTTATCTGGCAAGCGGAGGAAGTACTGGTAGAACTCAAAGGGGGAGGTTTTGTCTCTGTTCAGCCACACAGCGTTGCCAGCCGTCTTCCCCAGTTTATCTCCCATCGAGGTGGTGACGAGCGGAACCGTCAGGCCGTACACCTCCTCTCCCGTCTTTCTGCACAAGAGTTGTAATTGTTAACTACAGCTACTGAAGACATCCCTGATAGACGCCTATTTGACGTCTGCAAGACGTATTTTTTTAGAGCGTTTGCTCATCTGCAATACGTCTACGGGACGTTTCCTATCAGATGTCAAACAGACGTTTAGAAGACGTCTGTAAGATGTAAAACTGACATCTATCAGATGTTTGTACACAGCAGATGCTTTCCAGATGAAGAGGTCTTGCAGACGTACCTGTGCTGTCTGGGTCTGCTGTGTACAAACATCTGATAGATGTCAGTTTTACATCTTGCAGACGTCTTCTAAACGTCTGTTTGACATCTGATAGGAAACCTGCTGTATGTATGCACTGCAGATGAACAAACACTCGTGCAGATGTAAAATAGACGCGATGTACGTGTGCTATCATGGTACTGGAGTGGTGTTTATATAGTAAGAACGTGGTAAAAGCGTGGTATCACACCTGTGGATGAGCTCGTGTCCACTCGTGATGTTCCCCAGTTGATCGGTTCCGCCCAGCTGGATCCTGCAGCCGTGCAGCTGATGTAAACGGTAGAAGTCAAACGCCTGGAAGATCTGGTAGGAGAACTCGGTGAAGCTCATGCCCTCCGAGCCCTTCAGCCGAGACTGGACGCTGTGGCGGCTGAGCATCGTTCCCATCCGAAAGCTCCTGCCGACCTCCGAGAAGAACTCCAGCACGCTCCAGTCCTTGTACCAGCTGCGGTTATTGAGCACCGCAAGCCGGCCCAGCCTACTCGAGTCCGGGCAGAAGTGCAGCTCGTGGTGGGCGAAGATCCGGTGGAGGCTCTCCAGAATCCCGCGGGAGTTCTGCTCCACCGCGGCCGGCGAGAGGCGCTCTCTCTCGGCCGACCTCCCGCTCGGATCCCCGATCTGCGCCGTGGCTCCGCCGAGCAGCGCGATGATGTCGTGCCCCGCGGCTCTGAAGTGCAGCAGGCCGACGACGGCGAGCAGGTTCCCGGCGTGCAGGCTGTCCGCGGTCGGGTCGAAGCCGCAGTAGACGGTCTGCGGACCGGAGCGGAGCAGATCCGGGAGTTCCGCTTGAGCCGCGCGCTCAGGGAACGACTCCTTCAGGAGGCCTCGGTTATAAAGGGAGGAGAGCAGCCCGCTTCTTCTAGATGGAGAACAGTGGAGTGAAGCTTTTAAATAAGATGTTTTTCTGAATACGACACGTGAATGAACTCGACAGCATGACCGCGCAACGGACGCAGCCATGTTGGAACGGCAGTTTTGATGGACGCTGTCGCCACCTAGTGGACAGATGTGGGAGTGTAGAAATAAAAATAGGTTTCTACCAATTTACGTTCACAAATGTGCAAGAGCACAAGCCTAAAGATAAAAGTTGAACCCTAAATTATAAAAACTACTATTAATTTATGAAAATTAAGTTACATGATCTATGTAATATATTTTATAGATATTTTGCATTGGCAATTATCATTGTTAACCTTTCTTGTATTCATAATGTAGGCTATTTGTCTTATTGTCTTATATATTTTTTTACATTCTTGTGTGCAAAATACAAATAAAGTTTGATTTTGAGAAAAAATGTTGCAGAATAATAATCTTAATTTCCTTTTTTTTTCTAAAAAAACAAAATGGTCATTAACCCTTTAATTATGTTGGCTTATACTAAATAATATTAAGACAAGAATAATTAAAAAAAATAAATTAATAAAATGAAATCCTTTAAAACATGAGAACACAAAACAAAAATGTATGCAATGTATGTAACTGCCCAAATATTATATAGTATTTTTTTTCTTATTCTTATTTAATTTAATGTATTTTTTTTTACATAGATGTTCAGTTTGTATTTTTGTTGTTGTTCTTATTCTTTATTTCACATATTGTGAACTGTACAACAATGCCTTATATTTGACTTGTTCTTTTTACACTATGTTTGACTGTACTAACTAAATACAACAACACAAACAATAATAATAATAATAATAATTGTGTTTTTGGTGGCCCAAAAAGCTGAATCCTCCATTGAACTGAACTCAAATCACAGAACTTTTTTTTGTCTTTATGGTGACGTTCATTCACAAAACAAGCGCAATCATTCATATATATATTAGTTCTATGGATTTATATAAATATAAATGCAATGCATTTCAAATTATTTTAAAAATACTTTTTGTTATAACAAACAACTTCTATCAGTGCTGAATACTTTATTTAATTATTAAAGAGTAATACAGAAAAAGGCAATAAACGTTTTAAAATCATAAAACATTTCAGTAAACAAATATGTTAGATTATTAAATAGATTATAAATAGCATGATCAATTAAGAAAGAATTAATTGTGACTATAAAGTCATAAAAATATACAATATATGCATATTTTTGACTGTACACCAAAGAGTTTACTTTTGTGAAACAACAGCTGAAGGTGAACTAGTATCTGGTTGGTCTCTTTTTCCAAATTACTTGGGCTTTGTATATTAAAGACACACATTTCCACATTTGAATTTTACAAAGATGTCTTTTATTTTGAGACAGGACTACATTTGTCAAACTTTTGTCTAGCCCAAGTACAGCAAAAACACCAGCACTGAGGCCTTTTTGCAGCAGTATATTAATAATCAGCTTGCATAAAGTCACAGATCTGTATCAACCAGCTTAAAATCAAGCATTTATTAAAGGAAGACTGAGACAATTCCCTGATTCAAATCCCTTCTATATAAAAACACCAAACACTAGGTAGAAAAGCAAAGCTGCTGACAATCAAATATTTCATTTTAATCTGATAAAAAAGATCAAAACAAACTCAATACTTTATGCATACATTTGCTCAATCAACAAATATTACAGGACAAAAAAAAAAAGCATTGTGAACTTGAGCGAGGATTATAATACTTGATTTGATTTGAAACATCACAGATTTCTGCTCTAAAGTGAGTTTCATTCATCGATGCCATAACACTTCATAGTTTCTTGCAATCTGGATCTAAGGCACCTGAAGAGACAAATCAGAATAGCATGCTACTTACTGTATACTGCAGAAATAGTACGCATACTACGCATACGAACACTACATTTGCAATATACAACAGCACACAGCATTTCCAGTGTGACTCAAGTAGTATTGAGTACGTAGTAAGCTACTAACAAGTCAGCAAGGCAGAGGATGCATTCGGTACATTCTGATACGACACATTTACACGTCAAACCACAGAAATGCAAGCATGTGAACTAATAGTTGGAAACACAAAACAAGAATGTAAAAATGCAACATGCAAATGTATTTACTAATTTCTTAAAGTGACATTATGAAGCAGGGAGTGCATCTTACAACGGCGATGGACAGAGAAAATCTAGCTGGATTTACAAACCATTTGGCTTGACTCGGGTCACAGGCAGCTGTTGATGATCGATATCATCAGTACCTCCATTCTTGACCTGAGACCTGATGGAGCACAGTACAGTATACAGCAGGTGAGGATCCCAAACACCCCCAGAGGAGACGGCCTTCAAAAAATGATCCGAACTTGATTGGTCGACGTGGATCAGACTGGTCCAACATCTTGATTTATGGCAAAAATAAAAAAGTTTCCGCCACAGAATAAAAAAAAATAATTATAAAAAGATAATTCTGACTTTTTAATCCTGCAATTTGGACTTTTTTCTCAGTTTTGCGAGTTTGCCTAACATAATTCTGACTTTCTTTTCTGTTTACATATATTTACTTTTTGCCTCAGAATTTATATCTTGCAATTTTGACTGCGTAAATTTTTACTTTTTTTCCTTGAATTCTGAGTTTATATTCGCAATTCTGACTTCTTCTTAGAATTCTGAATTTATATTCTCACAATTTCTGCCTTTTTTTCTCAGAATTCTGAATTTGTATCTCGCAATTCTAACTTTTTCCCTCTCAGAATTCTTTTTACGGTACTTTTTTTTCTCAGAATTTAGAATTTGTATCTCGCAATTCTGACTTTTTCCCTCTCAGAATTCTTTTTACTTTTTTTCTCTGAATTCTGGGTTTGCAGCTTTTTTCTCAGAATTTTGACTTTTTCTCCTTTTAACTGTCAAGCCCCTGGCTTTGGAATACAGACCGAAGGTTGGTCTCAAAAAATGTTTACTGTAAAGATCATGGGCTGTACAAAAAAATAAAAATGATAAAAAAAAATATTTTACCAATATTTTGGAATCTAAAATTGCTATAAAATCAAAGCCATATGTCTAAGTTACTGTATGTTCCAAATTTGAAGTTGATATCACAAAGTCAAGGTTCCTGTGAGATTTTATTTAGGCGCCATACCAAAAACAGCCACTGGGTGACACACAAACACCTCACTTTGATGCATTTTCCTCTCACAAATTCATAAATTAGTGACATCACAAAATAACCACCAAATATGGAACCTTGAGACTCTTTTCAACAATGTGTTTGGTCAAGATTAGAAAAAGCTTTGATTATAAAATACTGTAGTAAATTTTGCCCACTAGGGGGAGGAGCCCGCTAAAAGGACTTAAGGTACTATTTCCATTTTGAGTGTTTAAGCTTTCGAATGATATATATATTTTTAAATTTAGGATGATTACTAAAATATGTAATAGGGGGAAAAATGCAATAAAAAAGTGCACTAGCTAATTCTTTCAGAATTGTCTCAGTTAAGCTTTTTATTTTTTTTAACCCGTGACAGAAACAAGCTTCCATAAAAATGATCACTTATGTCATATTAGTCAAGAGAAAACAATCAGGATGGAGTCCAAATGAACGATTCACCATTAGTAAAACTCATAATGAAATCTTCAGGATAATCAGGCGCTCCATTAATCTTTCCGTTTAGGGTGGAAATGCACAGGTCCTCACGCTGAATTAAAAAGGAATGTGGAAAATATGACATGAATTCCCATGCAAATGTCGTTCGATGACAAATCTTCCCCCATATTTACAATGCACTGCATAAAACTCTTTCATTTCACAACATCTGCTATATATATATATTAATAAAGATACCTTTGCTTTAGTAGAAAAAGACTAAATTTCAATCATAATCTCGGTAGTGCATAATACCTAGATGCACACAATGTCAAAGCTGTTAAAAGCATTTATCAAAAAGTCAAAGACGATGCCTCGATTAAGTGTCCGCTATTTACAGGGTTGCAAAGCTTCAGCGTTTCTGTTACAAGCATAACTTTACAGTCTAAGTGCATCCCTTTTCACGGATACAGCTGGATACATTGTTTAAATGTGACACGGAACGTTCAGGTTGACGGCGATTTGCAGCACAACACGACCGAAAGTTATTCGTTTTTAATAAGAGATGTCATTTTTTGGTCAGCTTTTAACTTTATGCAAATGAGAAGCGACATGCTGTGGAATGAACAGCAACCAAGACCTCCAGCAGTTTACTCTCTGTCTGTGTGAACGCATTTTTTAAACGAATCGCTTGCTTTACAAGGTCGCAATCCAAGAAGGGGTTTCCAAGTACTTACTGTGAATCACTACACAGAGTTTTCTCATGCAAAACGTAGTTTTTTGACGTGAAAATAGACAATAATAAGTTATTTCTAGTAATTGTTCACAACTTCGGAACGGTAAAGCTGGTGACATGGAAAAACTAAACGTTCCAACCCGATCTCATGAAAATGCGTATAAATAGTACGCCAAATTAAAACGAAAACTCGTGGTATTGATACGCAAAAATGGACTTTGGCGCTACGCGATGGGTAGGTTTAGGGTTGTGGGGTAGATGCGTATCATATGCACGCCAACAAATTTCGTATCATATGCACTTTTCGTTTTTATTTGGCGTACTATTTATATGCATTTTCATGAGACCGGGCTCAACGTTCACATTAACAAGAAATCAACTGAAGGTGTTGTTTCACGGAGCTCCTAAGGGAACATGGTAAAGGGAAAAAATGAGATGGGATGAAAAATGTTTTTTTTTGCCTTCTCTCGCAAAAGTATTGCATTCCCCTGAGAAACTTTGCGTTTGCTCGCAAAACATTTGCGTTCATTCGCAGAAGTTTATTTGGCGTACTATTTATATGCATTTTCATGAGACCGGGCTCAACGTTCACATTAACAAGAAATCAACTGAAGGTGTTGTTTCACGGAGCTCCTAAGGGAACATGGTAATGGGAAAAAATGAGATGGGATGAAAAATGTTTTTTTTGCCTTCTCTCGCAAAAGTATTGCATTCCCCTGAGAAACTTTGCGTTTGCTCGCAAAACATGTGCGTTAATTCGCAGAAGTATTGTGTTCCCCCCCAAAAACTTTGTGTTCGCCCGCAAAACATTTGCATTCTCTCGCAAAAGTATTGCATTCGCTCTCAAAATCCCCCAAAAAACTTTGCATTCTCTCGCAAAAGTATGGACAAAAACGTTTCGTGAAGGAACGCAAAGTTTATTGGCGGAACGCAATACTTTAACAAGCGAACGCAAATGTTTTGTGAGCAAATGCAAAGATTTTCGGGGCAACGCAAAATTTTTAAGAGTGATCGCAAAGTTTCTTTTTGCGTTTTCTCGCAAAAATATTAAGCGCCCCTGAGAAACTTTGCAGACACTCTCTCTTCTCTCGCAAAAGTACTACATTCCCCTGATGAACTTTGCGTTTGCTTGTAAAACATTTGCGCAAAACATTTGCGTTCTCCCGAGAAACTTTGCGTTTGCTCGCAAAACATGTGCGTTAATTCGCAGAAGTATTGTGTTCCCCCAAAAAACGTTGTGTTCGCCCGCAAAACATTTGCATTCTCTCGCAAAAGTATTGCATTCGCTCTCAAAAATTTTCGTTCACTCGTAAAACATTTGCTTTCCCCTTTGCAATTGTTTGCGAGCAAAAACAATACTTTAGCGAAGTTTTTGGGGGGAACGCAATACTTTAACGAGCGAACGCAAATGTTTTGCGATTTTTGGGGCAATCCAAAATTTTTAAGAGTGATCACGAAGTTTCTTTGTTGGGACGCAATGCTTTTGTGAGCGAACAAAAATGTTTTGTGAGTTTCTCGGAGGAACGCAAAAGTTTTGTGATCAAACTCAAAATTTCTCGAATTAACAATTAATAAACAAACAAATATTTTTTTTGATCCTGTGCTATGTTATTTAGCATCACCGTGTTCCTTTAGGGGCTCCATAATATTTCTGGGAATCCAGTTTGTAGTTTGATTTTAGAATGGCTCTCAAAATTAATCTTACGCAATCTAATCCATTAAACGCCACTTTTTGTACTATTAAACTCTTGCACGACACGACAGCAGAATGGAAAAAAAAACGAAATGTCTCAAAACACGTTTTAAAAAATTGAACTCGTTTTAACTTGAGTGCAGTCTCATGCGAGAGTCGCCGTAAAACACACGAGCGCAATGGCCAAGCGTCTGTCTAATGCATGTTTACACAGAAAAACAACGGAAAAGCATCGGAAATGCATTCTGTGTGAACGGCCCCTTACGCAAAAGAACATTTTAATGTAGATTACTGCACACAGAGTTCACATTTTCAAAAGCTGGTATGACACAGACATATTTGATACAATTAGCTTCTGTTTCTGGTTTACATAGGGACGTCGAGACTAGGCACTGCGGCTCTGACAAGAATGACTGCTGGAGAGACAGACAGACAAACGGTGTGAAACCGATTAAGACAGGAAGGAAATTAAAGCAAGCTAGGCTTTGCATCTGCAGCATGTGAGCAGCTGCAGTGCAAATGCAACTCTGTGCAGTGAGTTCTGGGTTACTGCGTTGATGCTTTCTTTAACAACGGCCGTGTATGGGCTCTTTGAGAACTGTTACTGTCATTAAACCACATTTATATGAGAAAGAATGATGCTCAAACTGCTTAAATCACCTGGATTCAGTACGATCTATTGCATGTTTAACGTGCATCAAGCCCGACAGACACCTGTGTTCAAACAATAAGAGTGTGGTTCGCTCAAATATTAATGCAATAGTGCATTTTCACTCCATTTTTTGTGCAGTGCCACGCTTGCAGTATAAATGCTGTAACAGACCTCATTTGTCGTGCTCCTTTAGCCCTTTAAACAGTAGATTACTGTAAAACTGCACAACCTGGAGCGCTTGTGCTCTGTCAGAAGGCATAGGTCATGAGCTATTGATCTGCTTTGTATTTGAGCACTGCATTTTATAACTTGAAAGCTGCAGTTACGGACCGAGACTGTAATATTGTGAAAAATAATTTCGATTTGATTGAAAAATATTTGCTAATGTTGACTGGAAAATGTCTGAGATTGATCATTCTGTGTCATATTTTTGCTTTCCCAGGTTAGCATGATCAAAAAAAATTAATTCTGTGTTCACGACAATGTTAACCATGAAGCAAAAATCCCTGTAGCGTTACAAAACGGTCAGTTTCACTAGTTACGGCAGGTCTATGTGGAAGTCACTTGGGTGAAAACTGCGGGTTTAAACCGCACACTATCAAAAGCTACCGTGTCAATATAAAAAAATCATATTGCTGTATGATTACGTTGGATTTTAGGGTTTCTATTCACAGTTTCAGGCCCAAGAGACCAGTAAGAGTTTATAAAATATCCCCCCAAAAAAGATCCCCAGGATGCATTTTAATTGCCATTGTCTTGTTTTTCTCTTTAAACCACTTACCGCAGAAACCATTGTTTAACTCATCGGTATTGAACAGCCCTGATGTTCTTGCCGTTTTCATCCAGAAATCACGGAAATAGTGGTTCACATGACGCCCCTTATTAAAGATCACAGTGTAGCTGTGGAGGGGACGTGTTTTGAGGGCCCCTGAGAGAAACGGCTTTTTCTAGAAATCAACCAGACGAATGAGCCAAAGCCGACTCAGTACATGTCTCTGTAAATCTCCTGCAGTAAGGGATGCAGCGAAGTGTCTTCTGTCTTCTTGATTTCCTGCACTAACTGAGCGTGCTCCGTCACCAGCTGCCGCAGGTCCACTAGTTTCTGGAGGACTTTAGGGAAGAGGAAACCGTTGTCTGGATGGTTGCTCTTGAGGTGCAGATGAAGCACGTTTACGATGCTCTCCTGCATTCGCTCGATGTGCGGGACGTTCACCAGGCCTGGCCGATCTGGAAGAGCAGGAGTCTGAAATAAATCACTGGCAAGCAAAAGCTGGTCTATTCTTTTTAATACTTGTAAGAGTTCATTAGAATTTTAAAATGTTCTACAACACAGGAGTTTTCAATGCACAGAATCCATCTTGCGTAGCTAAAAGCGGTTGCACTCCTGTACTAGTATAAGTTCAAGCCTATATTCAAGTATTACTGCAAAAAGTAAAAACTGTAAATAATAAAATAAAAATATAATAAAAATGTAATCATATATGAGATAATATTTTTATTTTTAAATATGTAAATTATATATACATATATATATAATTAATTAAATATAAATTATAAATTAAAAAAATATAATAAAATAAAAAGACAAATAGCAAATAAAATGGGACAATAATATAAAAGAAATACATAAAACATAATCTAGTGACTCAAAATATAACAATGTGTGTGTAGTATGTTTAAATAACCACTGTGGCAAATGCACTTTTCATGTGCATCAAGTACACTGGAAAGTGTTACAACCCTCGCCATCTGGTCAGCTATTATATTTTCTTTTTCTTTTTCTTTCTTTCTTTCCTTAAAATTAAGTTAAATAAGAAAGCCTGCTGAGATGCTATAAATTCTGTCAATTGTCATTGATTAACATGAACACATAACTTATGGGAAGTTTTACAACTTTCTTTACACAAAAAAAATAATATACATAAAAATCATTTAAAAAAATAAGGCAGCATGCTGTCAATTCTTAGTGTCGGTTTCCTGAGTCCGGTGACTGGGCTGAATGAGCTGGCATGTTTATGGCGGTCTTTTATGGATGCACTTCGTCGCAGTATTGATTTCCTTGAGCCGTACAAGACTGCATGTGTGAGGTGCTTTTGGCAGACTGATGGTGACAGTATCAGAATGTTGCTTTTGAGGATTTGTAAAGCCATTCTCTGCTGCTTTGTGTGTTTGAACAGAGCTCCAGTGTGTGTGGGGTGCTAATCCTGTGCTATCATTGTGCTTGCCCCTGTTGTTCATCTGTCTTGAACGTGCCCTGGGGGTGCAAAGCACTGATGCCTCACCTCATTTCCTCACTTTAATAAAGCAAGATGAATCGGACCATGGTACACACTTGTGTCGTGGTGTGATCCCTTTAATGTGAGGCATATTAAAATTGGAATGATGTTTGAATTGCACTTTATTGTAGGGATACTGTGTTGAGGTTTGTGTCTATTTACCAAGTATAACTGGCAATGAAAATGTGTCTTTAGATGTAAATATATGTCTCACAAAACCAAATGACATAATCAAGTGGGAGTCTGAACCGATGTAAAGCACATGCCTAGTGTAGCTGTGACACTGACCTGCCTTCTACACTCCATTCAGCCTGCACTTGCCAGACAGTGTTTGTATTATTGCTTCTCTCTGCAAAGACTTGAATGGAATTCTTGTCGACCATTTTTTGATTGATAAGTAAGCAATATTAAGATAGGGCAAGTATGATACAATGGGGCTAAAATCCTTTTTTGGGTGTTTTTCTCCCAAAACACTAAATTGCAACATAAAATTACGACACTTTCTGACCCTTATGAAAAAAAAAGTGTGCGTATTTGCAGATAATATAACATTAATGAAATGAAGGGCTACTTAAGTGAACTTAAAGAAGGTACACTTTCATGACTGTTTCTTAACACACTTAAATACACCTATTAGTTTCAAAAGAAAGGACATTAAGGTATATTTTATTTTACCATAAATGCTCATCAGTACATTCAACAGTACACTTTAATCCTTTTTTCAAAAACAAATTACTAATAAAGATGTACTTTTTGGCCCGTGTAAGTAAGACCTAAGCACAACTAAATGCATTTATTTTTTAATTTTTAACTAAAATACATTTTTATTCAATATTTCAGGTAATATGCAGTTAAGTGTCTGAAAACATACAATTTATTTTGCACTTACACATTAGTTTAAAGTATATAATTTCTGTAATAAGTACTTCTTTCAAACCCCTTTTTAACATCGGTTTGTCTCAACGCACTGAGAGCGTTTTCTGATCCATGACATTTTTGTTTTAGTGAAATCAATAGTTTTAGTAACTTTTAAAACTTGGAAGGATAGACTTTGGAGTAAAAAGACTTGCTGTGGCCAAAAATGTCACCAAAAATGCTGTTAGGTTTACAGAAGAGGCAGATGCAAAATACCTGTAGTGTAACTAATTGTTTCTGTAATTGGGAAGGAATAGGTTTGGTGTGAATGATGTGCAGAGTGTGCTCACATTGCTCCAATCACAATGGAGAGTCATTAGGGAAATAACAACAATGCAGCTCTGTTGCACGGTACTTTGCTGAAAGCAAAATGTATAGTTCTTATGAGATGCCAAAAGTGTTTAAATGAACGCAGAATTAAGCACATTACATAAAACTTATTAACTTAATGTGGTATTTTATGTTCTTCTTTTGCCATTTTTTCCTGTTTCTCCATCAATATTTAATAAATACATTTTTCATTCATTGTGTACTTTCTTAAGTTCCTTAAGGGGGCTTTTAGCCTTGTAACCTACTTATCAGTGAGTAGCACGAATTTGCTGTGAGTGTATGGATGTAGAGCAGCCCTAAACTCAGTGGTTATTGACTAACAATAGTGTGGAGCCCTGAGGACCGGTTGACTGAGATAGATCAATCTTTGTGCTTAGCCCTGAGCCTCAGGGAGAACCAGAGCTCCCTACCAGTCACGCATGGCCAGCCCTTGAATGGGTCTGATCTCCTATCATCAGGGGATCATTTAAAGGTTAATCAATTGATTTCAAATAGATCTCATAATTTGAAATCGAAGGTCAGGTTTGAATAGCCGTTTGTCTATGACCAAAACAATTTGAGAGCAAATTAAACATATATATGAAAGTGTTGGAGCCTATGCCCTTTCCTAATGCGACCGGATCAGAGAGAGGGAAACAACGACTCATGTTTTCATTGGGAGAGGCCAACTGTGCCGAATAAATTATAGCTGACATTTGGATCTTGATGAAAAGGTTGAGCCTGAGACACAGTAACTAAATAATGTTGAATGGTCAAATGCTGCAGGCAACATTTCAAAATCCATTTCCCCTGCAAAACTGCATCGAGTAGCAATAAGAGGTCTTTAATTGGTTTGCTCACTGAGTACACCTTTCTTAGATGTGGGGCATTTTCTCCAGTCCTCCATCTGTATGCTACACAATTAAAAGCATGTATATTGGGCTTTAAAGCGCAGAACTTCTCCCCATCTTATCACTACACAGTTGCAGTTATTGTCCCGTTCAGAAGAGCTTCAGGGGCTGGCTGTCAGTGTTTCTGGGCCTTTCTTAATTTAGCCCACGGTAACGCTCCCTCTTGCTTCTACATAATGGATGATTCTGCACTCCACCATGCAGGAAAGGTTTAATTAAATCATATTCCAATCATAATCCATGTTGTTAATTAAACTGGATAATTTATAAGTACAAAAGAGGGTATTTATTAGCTGCTCTGCGGTGCTGGTTCAGTCGCAGCGTATCAGAAAGCGCCCCCCATCCCCCATCCTCTCCTCGTACTATTGATGCCTTCACATGATTGATAATGGAATGGTGACTGCTGTACTATTTGTCTAATGGTGGTGCAATTAAATCCCCTTGTAAATGACCCATGCCTCATTTCATCCTAATCTATGGAATTTTGATTGAATTTGTCAGCGTTAATTGAAAAATACTGCTATTTAATGTCTGCATTGCAGTTGCGTATCAGCCTGTCTTTAATGAGACTGTGTCCTTGTGACCCTGGGGAGGGGGTGAGGGGATCGCCCTTGATTTGGCGTGGAGGCAGGGGTGGGGGCTCGGTGTCAAGGTTTTTAGGGTGCACGAAGGGAAGGAAGGTCTCCAAAGATTAGGACTAATCACCACCGTGAACACAGAAAACGGACGCATTCCTTTTAATTATGTGGGCCATGGAGACACATTTATTGATCAGCAATCCCACTGAATAATTCATGATTTAATCCCTCTCACCAAAAACATTGACAATTTCATTATGATGTTTTTCCCCCTGTTTTTTCATGGTTATATATATATATATATATATATATATATAAATATATGTATCTATATAAACAATACATAAAATAATTAATTAACTATAATATATATCACAAAAAATATATATAATAAAATAAAAAATAAAAAAAAAAAAAACATTTCATAAAAATATCTTGATAATAATAATAATATAATATTACTATTCATAATAGTATAATAACTATATTATATATACACCTCCACAGCAGATGATGGCAGCGATAAACAGTGCGAGGTCACTTCCAGTTCGAATATCACAAAAAATATATATAATAAAATAAAAAATAATTGAAAAAAAAACATTTCATAAAAATATCTTGATAATAATAATAATATAATATTACTATTCATAATAGTATAATAACTATATTATATATACACCTCCACAGCAGATGATGGCAGCGATAAACAGTGCGAGGTCACTATCGTCCAGTTCGAGGGAGTTGAACTTCAAGGCAAACTGAAACTTGGGCTCCATCATTTCGCTGAACGGCCGTCGCAAGCTCTTCAGAAACTCTCTGGTGATGAAGCCGCTGCCGTACGCGACCAGCAGGCCGTCTTTATTCATGCACGACGCCAGCACGGCGAAGAGCGCCTCATGGACGCCGTACTTTAATAAAGTCACCTGTCCGAGAAAACAGACTGCACTCAATGAAGAGATATGTGCATATCTCAAGATCTTCATTTTTATGAAGCTTGAGGTGTTTACAGGACGTGATGCTCGTATCTGGCACTAACCTGGTCATTTAAGTCCAGGTTTGAGAAGCCTGGCACGGACTTGGCGAATTCAGTCAGCTCGGTCACCGTCTCGACCGAAGTGCACTGACAGCAGTGGAATATTCGAACCTCAGCGTCTTTATTCAGCAGAGCCCCAGAAGAGCCTACCATCTTGGCCACAAGAGTCTGTTCGGCCAACTGCAGCGTCTCCATGTCGTGGATGACAAAAGGCTACAACACGACGAGAATGAAGCATGAAGATCATATTAAGAATAAACTGCTGTATAGTGGTTGATACAGGTTTTTCAATGGCAGATGACAATATCTAGAGTGCTGGGTGACAGGTGGGCAAAAATAAATAAATAATAAAAATAAATAAATAACTAAATAAATTCTATAAAATGTATAAAAAAAAAAGAAGACAAGCCCTTACAGTAGTTCTCCCCAACTTCCTATTTCAATAATCGGAAAAATTAAAATTCAATAAAATTAATAAAATAAAAATAAGTTTAAATAAGTATGTATATGTAACAGACTAAAATACAGCCGATATATATTATACATCTAGAATATACATGTAGAATATAACACAGAATAAAAATGTAATTATAATAATAATACATTATTATTATTATTTTGTGTGTGCATATATTAAAAAAATTTAACAGTAATTTAAAGCACAATTGCTAAATGTAAAAAAAAATAATTAAAATAAATATATATTAAAAATATAAAAAAAAATATATTTTTTAAATTTTATTTTATATACTATTTAATAAGTTCAAGACTGTATTCAAGTATACACACACAATAAAAAATAAGTAATAAAATAGAAAACAAAATAAAAATTGAATAAGAGTAATAGTAATAAAATAAATGATTATTATTATTATTATTATATTATGTGTATAAGCATATGCAACAGACCCATCTTCCTGTTTCAATACTTTCTGAACTTGAATGTCAAAAGACATTTAATTGTGTCACACAGGACGATACAATACAAAACTCTCGACCTGAAACAGTTCAGATGACGGCATTTGTTTCAAACGGGGCTAAAACTCGAAACGCTCCCCGCCTCCATAACAGAGGTCAACACGACACCCCGAGAGGCTGGTCTGCGGGCCGTGAGAGAACAAGCGCACTGTGAGAGATGAAAGCCTCGTCTTAATTCAGCTGCTCTCACTCCTAACAGCTGGGCCGTGTCCTGTGGAGCTCAGGCCCAAGAGCACAGCCAACAATCAAGCTAGTGTTACAGATGCATGAGGGGAAGCACATCTGAGGTGGAAGCCATCCACACCCAGTCAGGATGAACTCCAAACCCCCGTCCCATGAGCCCGGTGTCATATCAAGCTAATTTAATAAAGAGTTCTGCTTTATTGATGGCCTTTGTGTTTTATAAGAAGGTGTAGAGCGACATGAACATGGTGGAGAAAACGGAAAAGTGTAATCTGATGATGCAGGTTCAGTAACAGATTACATGTAATCTGGATTATGTAATCAGATTCCAATGAAGTACTTGTAATTAGATTATATTACATTTTAAAATACTTGTAATTAACATTTACATGTACTTTGCATGATGCACACATTTGCAGGTTCACAGTTTTTTGAAGTTGGTTAATGGTCACATGACATGCAGGTAAACAAAATATTTTATTAGTAAGTGTTTTATTTCGATTGTTGTTATTTTAAAATGATTTATTTTAATTATACATTTTTATGATTTAATATTAGCTTTTCAGTTCCTTCGCAAACCCCAGTTTGGGAAACTGATGTAATGTAATGTTTAATGCACTTAATGTTGTTAAATAAAAAAATATATATATTTTTTATATCAATATGGTACAAGATTATCCTATTTAAATCAATGTGATTAGCGAGTTAGGTCAAAAGTAGTCTGGTTATATTATCTACAATGTGTAATGTAATGGATTACGTTACTAACTACAATTTTTGTCATGTAATCTGCGATCAGTAATGGACTACAATTTGCTAGGGCGTTGCTAAGGTGATTTGAACGGTTGCTAGGTCATTACTATGTTCTGTGTGGTTGCTAAGTCATTGCTATGTGGTTCCAAAGATGTTTGGGGTTGTTGCTAGGGTGTTGCTATGGTGTTCTAAGTGGTTGCTAGGGCGTTGATAAGCTGTTCTGAGTGGTTGCTAGGTCATTGCTATGTGGTTGCAAAGATGTTCGGGTTGTTTCTAGGGCATTGCTAATGTTTTCTAAATTGTTGCTGCTAGGGCGTTTCTAAGGTGTTCTGAGTGGTTGCTAGGTCATTGCAATGTGATTGCAAAGGTATTCTGAGTTGTTGCTAGGGCATTGTTAACGCGTACTAAGTGGGTACTAGGTAATTGCAATGTGGCTGCAAAGGTTTTCTTGGTTGTTAGGACATTACTTCTGTTCTGAATGGTTGCTAGGTAATTGTTATGTGGTTGCAAATGTGTTCTGGGTTGTTCCTAGGGAGTTGCTAAGGTGTTCTGATTGTTTGCTAGGGCATTGTTCAAGCATACCGAATGGTTGCTAGGACATTGCTATGTGGTTGCAAAGATGTTATGGGTTGTTCCAAGGGTGTTGCTAAGGTGTACTGAATGGTTGCTAGGGCGTTGCTATACAGTTGCAAAGGTATTCTGGGTTGTTGCTAGGGTGTTACTAAGGTGTTCTGATTGGTTGCTAGGGCATTGCTAAAGCATACCAAATGGTTGCTAAGTCATTGCTATATAGTTGCAAATGTATTGTGGGTTGTTGCTAGGGTGTTACTAAGGTGTTCTGAGTTGTTGCTAGGTTATTACTATTTGATTCTACTGTGTTTAGTGTTGCTGCTCGACCGTTGCTTAGGTGTTCTGGGTGGTTACTTGGCTATGTGGTTGCAAAGATGTTCAGCAGTTGTTCCTAGGGCATTGCTAAGGTGTTCTGAGTGTTTGCTAGGGCATTGCTAAGGTGTTATAAAAGGTTGCTAGGTTATTTCTATGTGGCTGCAAAGGTGTTCTGAGTTGTTGCTAGGGTGTTGCTAAGGTGTTCTGAGTGTTTGCTAGGGCATTGCTAAGGTGTTATAAAAGGTTGCTAGGTTATTTCTATGTGGCTGCAAAGGTGTTCTGAGTTGTTGCTAGGGTGTTGCTAAGGTGCTCTGAGTGTTTGCTAGGGTGTTGCTAAGGTGTTATTAAAGGTTGCTAGGTTATTTCTATGTGGCTGCAAAGGTGTTATGAGTTGTTGCTAGGATGTTGCTAAGGTGTTCTGAGTGTTTGCTAGGGCATTGCTAAGGTGTTCTGAGTGTTTGCTAGAGCATTGCTAAGGTGTTATAAAAGGTTGCTAGGTTATTTCTATGTGGCTGCAAAGGTGTTCTGAGTTGTTGCTAGGGTGTTGCTAAGGTGTTCTGAGTGTTTGCTAGGGCATTGCTAAGGTGTTATAAAAGGTTGCTAGGTTATTTCTATATGGCTGCAAAGGTGTTCTGAGTTGTTGCTAGGGTGTTGCTAAGGTGTTCTGAGTGTTTGCTAGGGCATTGCTAAGGTGTTATAAAAGGTTGCTAGGTTATTTCTATGTGGCTGCAAAGGTGTTCCGAGTTGTTGCTAGGGTGTTGCTAAGGTGTTGCTAGAATTACTTAAAGACAGACAAAAAAGATCCAGAAAAAGATGCACATCAGCTATAATGAATAATGCACATGGCTGGATGCTCTTACCGGTGTGCTCGTCTTGCCTGTCAGGATGGTCCGTGCTTTGGATTTGTTCATGTTGAAGTTCTTCAGGTAGGCCTCGTAGATCTGCTTGGCCAGGGTTTTCTGATCGGCCAGCTGTGGGTCCTCGATCTCTCGTTCTCCCGTTAGGATTTCCGCCTTTAACCTCAGCTTCTCCGACTGTGGCATTCGCCCAAAGCGGATGGCTGTTTGCGGGATAGAAACAAGAACCTCAACTTAGAGAAAACTCTCAAACGAACGTCCCATGTAAGACTGCCCACCCAATAGTCGACTAAACGTTAGTTGACGAGAAGAGGCTTAAGGCCTGTCTATACTTCACTTTTCGCGTTCCATTCCACCTCGAGCACAGCCGCGTCTGCACAATTTTCAAAATATACTCAACCGCGGATGAGCATGGATGGACGAGTTCGACACGTGTGTAGTACCAGCTAGAAGACTCGTTCTGTCTCAACATTCACCTCGCGCCTGCGCTGTTGTACGAAGACCGTCCACGCGGTCACAAAAACTGGGCTGCACTTCTGATGATGAAAACTGAATCAAGAGAACAGTGCGCGGACCGTTGCGGAACGTGGACGGCTGAAGTATACTTTGGGCTTCAGTCGACTTAAATTTTATTAGTCGGTTAGTCGCAGAAATAATAGGTCCTTGTTCGTGACAGACACATCGTAACAGCTGGTCCTTGAGGTAATTAATGACAGGTGAACATTTGGATATTCTGCCCAATATACTGATATATATACAGTCATTCATCAACTTCAAATATGGCTTATCATTTGAAAGTGTAGAATGTAGTATATCGACTTTAGATATATGTACGCTATTAGGTGCATAGAGCAAGTTGTTTGCGCTCTTACTGCATGACATGGAGGCGCCGATGCGATTACTGCACAATTTTTTCCTGATAACAACGGAGACAACTTAAAATACGCCGTCATTTTTGCTCAAGCAGATAAGAGTTACAGTGGGTACGGAAAGTATTCAGACCCCCTTAAATTTTTCACTCTTTGTTATATTGCAGCCATTTGCTAAAATCATTTAAGTTAATTTTTTTTCCTCATTAATGTACACACAGCACCCCATATTGACAGAATTGGTGAGAGAGGTAAAGAAGAACCCAAAGATCACTGTGGCTGAGCTCCAGAGATGCAGTCGGGAGATGGGAGAAAGTTGTAGAAAGTCAACCATCACTGCAGCCCTCCACCAGTCGGGGCTTTATGGCAGAGTGGCCCGACGGAAGCCTCTCCTCAGTTCAAGACACATGAAAGCCCGCATGGAGTTTGCTAAAAAACATCTGAAGGACTCCAAGATGGTGAGAAATAAGATTCTCTGGTCTGATGAGACCAAGATAGAACTTTTTGGCCTTAATTCTAAGCGGTATGTGTGGAGAAAACCAGGCACTGCTCATCACCTGTCCAATACAGTCCCAACAGTGAAGCATGGTGGTGGCAGCATCATGCTGTGGGGGTGTTTTTCAGCTGCAGGGACAGGACGACTGGTTGCAATCGAGGGAAAGATGAATGCGGCCAAGTACAGGGATATCCTGGGCGAAAACCTTCTCCAGAGTGCTCAGGACCTCAGACTGGAACTAAGGTTTACCTTCCAACAAGACAATGACCCTAAGCACACAGCTAAAATAACGAAGGAGTGGCTTCACAACAACTCTGTGACTGTTCTTGAATGGCTCAGCCAGAGCCCTGACTTAAACCCAATTGAGCATCTCTGGAGAGACCTAAAAATGGCTGTCCACCAACGTTTACCATCCAACCTGACAGAACTGGAGTGGATCTGCAAGAGGGAATGGCAGAGGATCCCCAAATCCATGTGTGAAAAACTTGTTGCATCTTTCCTAAAAAGACTCATGGCTGTATTAGATCAAATGGGTGCTTCTACTAAATACTGAGCATTTTTCAGTTTTTCTTTTTTAATAAATTTGCAAAAATGTCAACAATTCTGTGTTTTTCTGTCAATATGGGGTGCTGTGTGTACATTAATGAGGAAAAAAAATTAACTTAAATGATTTTAGCAAATGGCTGCAATATAACAAAGAGTGAAAAATTTAAGGGGGTCTGAATACTTTCCGTACCCACTGTATACATCATTTGAAACTGTAAAGGGTCTACTTTTATTTGTGTGCACTCACCATATCAACAAAACGTGCTTTTGTAAAATAAAGAAAACGAACAGAATGCACTTTCTGCCATCTCTGTCTCTGAGCACTGGACAGCGTCACAAAAACGAACAGAAACTCATTGGCTACTCGCCTCAAAGACGTTAGAAATATATCTATAAAAGCTTGAAATGTCTACTTTAAAATACTCTCCGATTATGTAATCCGTATTAAAGGTGCATTTCTCTCTAAAGGTGAGTCTACTGTGCTACGGAGATTAGCATCATTAACTTCCTTCGAAACACTGTTTTATTAATGAATAAATAAAATATTTCCTTGCTATTTTTTCCAACACATTCATAGTCATTACTAGGGTTGTCAAACGTACTGACTTCGGTACCAGTCTGTACTGAAATAAAAAAAAATGTGAAGATGCCAGCATTTCTCGCTAGCATTTTAAGCACTGTTGAGTGGATTCTTATGTCTGTTAAGCACATCTGCATGTGCTTGAGCGCAGAATAGGCTATAGTCTACATCAAAGGCCCCCCCAAGTTTATATTTAAGTAATTAAATTAATATAAACATGCAATTAGTCGACTAATGGCTTTAATGAATGACTAGAAAAAATCTTTAATCGGGGGCAGCCCTACGTATAATGCTGCCTCTGTAGGAAGCTCTCTATATTTTGGAACAAAACCGGTATCTGACTTGCCTCTTGTGAAGTTTCTCCAGTGATATACAGATAAAATTTGACGTGATCATTTGTGGTTAGTTCTTGACAGCCTTCCAAGAGTTCAAATCACATAAAAGTTCATCTTCGCCTTAAAAGTTAATATCCCTATTGTTGGTGTGGATAACATAAAAGTGGACTGTAAGTTGTTTCTGTAAACCTTCACTCTGCTCTTGCAAAACAACCACATGTGCTGCTGATCACGGATGATTCATATTTGATGAAATCCAAGGCCACTATTTACACATTTTGTCAGATCAGGATGTCTGGTGCCTTAGAAACTTGCCCAGAGGAATTGAGTAACACAAGTTTAAATCTGGACTGTGTTCAAATGAATCTCATGGTGTCATTGGACATGCAGAGCAGCGGTGGGCATTATGGTGTTGAACATTGTTTCAGCATTTCAGAAGCTAGATTTATTTAGTTGAGACTTTATTAAGTGGAGACACTAAACTATTCAGAGAATGGAATTGAAAAAAAAAAAACGATTTATTTCGCCAACATGTTTCGGCACACAGGCCTTCATCAGGGCTTCCAAATACAAAGAAACTCATTTAAAAACAAACTTTTTTTCAATTCCATTCTCTGAATTGTTTGATTTCTCCAATTCAAGTGTTGCTGGTTTTGTTTTAAAAAATACATTTGATTTCTCCTTCCATGCACCTTGATTGTGTGAAGCTGCACCAGAATAAATATACAACGTATCAGAAACTAGATTTAGCCTGTGGTGCCCATGCAAAACTTAACTTATGATGCTAAAGTGTTGCTCTAAATGGTTTTAGCATTTTATGCGGTTGCTAGTGTGTTTTGGATAGTTGTTAGGTTGTTTCGTACAGTCTCTGCTGTCAGTAGTATATGGTGCATGCAAATGCAGATATCTTTAAAACATGAATGCAATCCTAATGCAGACGCCACAATCCCCAACAGCTAATAAGCTTACAGTCCCGGCCTGTAAACCTCCATTGCATGACACACAAACGCATGTTAATCTCTACGTATTATATGTATTGTTACGTCCAGCAACAGGATTGCTGTTATTCTGCTGTCAGTAGTATATGGTGCATGCAAATGCGGATATCTTTAAAACATGAATGCAATCCTAATGCAGACGCCACAATCCCCAACAGCTAATAAGCTTACAGTCCCGGCCTGTAAACCTCCATGACACACAAACGCATGTTAATCTCTACGTATTATATGTATTGTTACATCCAGCAACAGGATTGCTGTTATTTTGTTGAACATGAACACAAAAAAACACATAGAACAAAGCAAAATTAAAAAAAGCCCATTTTTGGGGCGTGCAAGGTGCAAAATAGGTCAAAAGGTAGAAAGACGTCTCTTCTGTTCTCCAAGGCTGCATTTATTTGATTAAAAATACAGTACGGGAGACATGATCATGATTCACCTCAGCAGAAATACTGATTTCGAGGCATGAAAGTTACTTTTTGGATGTACAGTATTTTCCTTCTGCTGTCTAAAGTTTAGATGACTGTGAATTTAAACGTACATACATTTTATCCCTAGGTTATTGATAAAAAATGAACATGAACAACCTATGCTAATATAGGCATCGCTGTTTAATCATGGCTGCAACATCGGGGGCAATTTTAACATTGTTAACCTTGTTTGTCTGTGTTGACACTTTTCTGTTAGAAAATGAACATATTTAAATGTAAAACTACATTTAAAAATTATTAGTGTTGCACATTAAATAGTGTGTTGCAATGAATATTATCTCCACTTGATCTCATTCAAGTTATTCTGTTAATAATATCTTGTATCATTTCATCAAAGTTTGGTTAAAGACTGTTCTTGACTCATCAGCTGATTAATGTATTTGAGTAAAATATATATTTAAAAA